GACTTTAAAACGTTTTGCGAAGCGTTTGTGGTTGAATTTTTCCTTAAATTGAGGCTTATATTACGTATAAAAACATATCTAACATATATTTATGTTGGGAAATTAATAATTTTGTAATTAAAAGTGATATTTTTAGGCGATTTTTCATTTGTAAGAATATTCTTAAAAAATTATCGTGTTACCATGACAACTACTTTAGAACTTCATGTTCGGAAAATACAATGTTTTTGTCAGCAAGGCGAGGGTTTCTGCATGCATGTATTTTCTAGTTTGAATATACAATCTCGTTCCCCGAGCCTGCGATCCTTGGGAAGGAAACGAAGGCTCTGGGATAATCCGTTACCGGAAGCCAAGAATCCTGGCTAAGATTGAACTACGCATTCCATTTCAATGGCCAATCAGATTCCTCCCTGAAACGGATTATCCCAGAGCCTCGCGTTCCTTCCCGAGGATCGCAGGCTCGGGGAACGAGATTGTTGAATATATGAAAGCAGAGAATAGAGAGAGAGCCTGGGACTAGGCTGGGCGACACCTATTTTGGCGACACCTAGCTTAGCTTAGATATTATAGAACTGCTAGCTATATGAATTAATTATAGCACTCAAGCATGCTTTATAGAAGAAGATAGGAAGGAGCAAGTCCTCCAGTTATTGTATAGCTCAGTGGACTATAATCGGAGTTCGGAACTAATGTTCGGAATTTTCCGAAGATGTATTTTCCTCACTGTCAGGTGTCAAGGTCCAAGTGTCAACATTCAACAATGGACGAAGAAATCAAAGCTTTCAACAATAGGCAAAAACAAACACGAAATGATCTAAAATCGTCAAAATTGGAAGACAATGGCGAGGAATATATAGAAGCACCTATCGGTGAGTGTTGGATTCGTGATTTTGGTTTAGTTTTTGCCCAAGATCGGGTTGCATATTTGAATAATCTGAAACTCTTGTCGTCAACCAACTTTATATTGTACTTGCTTTACTGAAAGTGACAGGCGACAGCTGCTGTGTTTGAGATGATAATTTCTGTGCTTATATGATTTATAAGTGAAGATTATATGTATGATTGTATATATCAAATTACTTATTTTCACTTATAAATATCCTTGTAATATAAACAAAAATATATAGTCTATGATGTTTGTGATGTTACTCTGAATGTATATTCACACCGGACGAGTTTGAAAAATATGCCCAGCCACGGTGGGAATCGAACCTACAACCTTTGGAACACTATCCCAATGTCCGATTCCCACCGTGGCCGGGCATATTTTTCAAGCTTGTCCGGTGTGGATATACACTCAGAGCCAGGGTGAATCTCTCAAACACCCTCAAATTCACTCTGGACTCAGAGTAACACTACAAACATCATATTCACCTGAGTACACAACACTAACACAGAAAAAATTATATAGTCTATATTCACAAGCTTTCGTTGGTAGGGTCCATGGGGATGCAACTACAGTACCTTCGCTCGAAACGTCGAATTTCGCTTTGTATTTTTCAGGTAGCCCTACCAACGAAAACTTGTTATTATTGGCATTACCTACACTGGCGCTGACCATTCAAGATTTATAATGCATTTTATCCTAAACAATATTCCATTCCCATTAATTATACTTTTCATGCTTTCATTGAACGTCTTGCTTAAATTATAATATGTACCTATATCAATGTTTTCCCCCAACTGGGGGGGGGGGGGAGTGTAGCATACCCAGCCTGGGCAATTGACATTTTTGAGAATTGTTTGTCATAACCTGAGTATCAGGCTCTATTTTACAAATAGAGCCTGACACAAAACTTAACCTGATCGCTTTCCACCCACAGCAAAGTTTATATTTAGTATCCAATCAAAATGTCGCAGGAGAAATTTAAATTTCACACAACGACAACAACAATCTAATTATAGCATAGGCAGCCCACTAAACGGCTGAATTTAAATTAAAACTGCAATGAACATATAAAATTAACAAAAATAATCACAAATTAGCGAAATATATTGCAAATGTAGCTTATATTAAATCGCCACCCGATTGCTCTCTCCTTCGCAGAGGTTTCAGTGACTACAATGAGCTTTACATGGCGCTTGCCGTATTTATCAACAAACTGACGTATAATTATAAAGTATATATATATATATATATATATATATATATATATATATATATATATATATATACCGGATGTGTATAAAACACATATATATTACACATATATACATAATATATATATATATATATATATTAAGTATACTTTATAACTGTACGTTCACTGTGCTGGCCAATTTACTAATTTCCACCCAAGAAAGAATAATTTAAAAATGAAAATTAAAGCCCAATCAATGAATTTCAGGCAAGACATAACAAAAATATAAAATTTATTGGCTAACGTTTTGTTGTATTGTTCACATCATCTTCAGAGCAATAATTGTTGCAATATATTTCGCTAATTTGGGATTATTTTCTAATTTAACTGCAGTTTTAATTTAAATTCAGCCGTTTAGTGGGCCAGCTATAATTGTAGTTGTGATCGTTATAAAATATATCAACAACAATAGTATAATCTAATTAGCACCAGCCAATCAAATGACAGATTTAAAAAATCGTTTGTCTAATCGGCCAATCAGACGAAAAAGCCAGAATCTGGCTTTTTACATGCGCCGCGGTAAAGAATTGTATCAGGCCCTCCTTCATTCGCCGCCGCCAATTAATCCTGGCGAATGAAAACATAAGGGCCTGATACTCAGGTTATGTTTGTCAGTATTCCTCTCTCAAGGGTATAATATAGAACTGTCAATTAATGTTGAATGTCCCTGGGTCATGAAGAGATTGAAAGACCAACACTTATATACAGTATTATAAACTTGACACAAATTTTATCGACAAGAGTTGATATTTGTGGGAAATAAAACCATTCTCCCTGCCCACAGGCATTAATTTGTTGTCAATTTAATAATGCCTGTGTCTGACCGCACTCCCCTCGTTGGGGGAAGTCATTCATTTGATAGATGCACTATCGCAACCTTTACGCATTAAGCACCAGCGCTGACTCCCCTTAACAAGTAAAATTTCTAAAATCATACTACACCTGTAGATGCTGAGTAAAAGAATAAACTTAAGTAGGATGCATTACGGTGCAATGCAACTTGGTGGGCTAATTGAAATAGCTGTATCTTTAATTTATAGGACAAAATTGGCCAAACAATTTCATCCCACCCAGGTGGGATAAATTCTTCCTAGGGAATATTTTATCCCACTTAACTAAGATCCTGCCTAGCACAAGGTCAGATCTCACTTATCCTGCTGGCTTCAGTTGTTTCTCACATGAACCCAAATTGAATTTGACACATTTTTACATTAACCATGCAGGCCTGCAATTTAGTGCCAGGCATCGGACATTGTCTGGCTAGGGTGAAGCGGTTCAGGGTAAAACTGAAAACCATCTGAAAAAAACAGAGAAATTTTTATGACTTATATCAAAATATACTATAGTTAGATTAAACTTCTTGCTACATGTTCAAGACTTTAGTTTTAAAAATGATTTTGTTGATGGTATATAACTAGTACTGTGTTAATTAATATGTGCTGTATTAAAGCAGTAAGCCACCATTATCAGGGCTATTTTCTCATATTTTTAACGTTTAAAAGTTGAAAGTTTCACCAGAAAATGCTGAACTAGCGCTGTGATTGAGTTTGACAAGGTACAGTACCATAATGATTTTATTTCAATATTACTGAGATTCAAACAGTGGCATGTTTTTCAGAATTTGTTCCGGTTTTTCTAGGGGTTTTCTGGTTTTTGCCTAGAACTTTTCCGGGTTATCGATTAACCGCCACACCGTTTGTCAGGCCAAATTTTACCTTTTGTCTTATCAAAGCTTAAATTTATGACCAGTCATGTGACTGACCCTGAATCTCAAAAAGTTGATTTTTAACACTTTTTTATAATGTGTTAAAAACCAAATATAAACAAGTCACTTCCTCACTATTTCTTGCTAATTATGGATAAGATATAATATAATCTAAATCGCCTTCATACAACGTGGTAGAAAGTAAACTTTTAAGTTATTTATAACCTGAACTATATTAATGCACTGGTGCATTGAGACTGGAAAGGAATATTATATACTCAGTTTTCTTTTGCATTGCAGTGCATGTAGACTAACATGACCAGCCGGTATACTGTACATTGAAGAATTTTACTTTGTCCATTGTATGAGAAAAACTGACAAATGATTTTTGTCTTGGCCAGACATTTGCCCTTCCAAGCAAAATAATTATTTACAGGTCTCAGGCATGTGGATCTTGCTCAGGTGAGTTACCTGGTTAGGTGGGCTTATATGAAGAGGCCCTAAATAATTTATATTAATTAATTAATATTAATTAACTATAATTTGTACAGAATATGCCTTGTAAAATTTTGTTTCAAGTTTTGTGTTATATACTCAAACTTACAGGCCTTTCGCTGAGAAAACCAAGGTGCTTGATATATAATGTAGCACTCCTCAGTAATTAGATAAAGGTGTTTTAATTGCACTTACCACGCACTTACCAAAACCATAGTCAATCACACACAAAACATACTGTTTCCTGAAAGTCCCCGTCAATAAGTACTGTTTTTATCATATACCAATATAGAAAACAAAAAACCCTATATAAGAGAAACAAGAAACTACATAATATGCATGTACCATCATGATGATAATTTTTGCTTTTATTATTTATAACTTTTGACGATTTTATTATTCACTGGTGAATAAAAATAATGTCCACCACTCAGAGCTGTTGCCAGGAGACAGTTGAATTTTGTGACTTTCATGTGACATGCTCTAGTCCAATGAAATGCAAGAAAACATGAACTATTTCTGTATAACATTTATTAAGTATTCTACTATATGACTAAACAATAAATATGGTACAACACGTATGTTACGAAAACCTTTAAAAAGAATTGTTTAGTTCGGCAAAAATACAATACGCACGTGACGCCGTGACGGTGAAGGACCCGAATAATGAGTAAACGTTGACTAACATAGATAATGAGTATTATTCTAATGAGTTTCATAGCCATCTTCCCTTCTATAAGCTATGCCCTGAACAAGGCGGGAATCTTAACTGTATGATGAAAATCAATGCCCATTTCATTTCGTGATGGCTTATTTAGATTAATTACCAGCATCATGCTGGGCATTGATTTTCATCATACAATTTTTGAAAAGACTTTGATATTGAAAAGGACTCATGTTTTTGCATGCGTTTTCTATTTTTGCTGCGGATATTTTCTGCGTAATCATTTCATATTCGACTGATCAGAGCCTGAAAAATATCGCGAGTACGAAAAAGGTACACGCACCAAACAGCCTACAAATATATCCAAATTCAAATTATTTATTTTAAACCCTGTAATAATAACATTTATTGTCCCAACCAAAGTCAAGCAATCCAAAACATAAATTCAACATCCATGCCTGATTGTTTCTTGTTCTTGAAAAAATAGTGCACAGTTGTATTTTAAGGTGCACGTTTGTCTCTGTGTTGAGTGCCTTCCTGGGCAAGGACGGTCTGTACCAGTGTAGGTAATGCCAATAATCAGGAAGGCTTCGGATTGATAAGGATGCAACTCCTGAAAAATATCAATGAGAACTTTGAAGTTTAGGAGGAGAATTTTTGAAGGAGAATTTTTCAGGTAGTTGCTGCATCCTTGTCAATCCGAAGCAAGGCCTGCATTTATACTTATTTATTACAGTAAAGGAATTTTTTTGCAATATGCAAGTAGATTAGAAAATATTTCGTTGATCAATCATGTGAGATGAATGTCCCTTTTGACCTTGGTGTTCAAACCAAATTTTATGTTAAACCATTATTTTTCCAGAAAGTACGTCATTTTGTGCATAGAGCCTCGTTTTCGTGATTGACACATTATGCTTTAACTACATGTCACCTACACGAAAATGAGGCTCAAAAGCCAAATTGACGTATAACTTTCAGAAGGGTGTATTATAGCAGGTGTGTCACTGTGGTTCATGGGTTGGGGTAGATCTCCCACTCATGTAAAATATATGACGCATTGTCAGGAGTGTAATGACCAAGATTTTACAACAAAACAGTTTAGTGAAGTTTTTTTTTTAATTTTAAATGACTACATTACAGTACATATGTTGTGATAGGTCACAGCAAAATGCAGTTAAAAGTTAAAAGTTAAAACAAGGGCAAGTTTAGGTATACTATTAAGCTTGTTTTATAATTTTCTTTATTGTTTATGTACTGTACTATTTGTTGTTTTAAAAATGTTGTATTATACGTTGTTTTCCTGTAGTTAACCTTTTAAATTAACGCACGTTACCATTTTACTCTGTCTAATACCATATGAGTGTACTCAACAAGGGAGAGTGCTGGCTATCAATGTGTTAATCAGACTATCTGCCAACAATGAATGTAATTATTTAATAGATAAAGTTGGTCCGATTGGACGATGGATCAGACACCGCCTTCTGTCAAGCTCACTTTATGGGACACCCCTGCTATGTGCTATTCAGGTATATTTTATCATTATCGAATTAAATATATTTCGAAAAATGAGCATGCAGTAATACACACGTTTTAAATTACTGCGTGCACTCATTTTTCGAAATTTTAATTTGAAACCGGTTTTCCAGCATTTGTTCGCGTGAATAAGGGAATCGAAAAGTAGATTTCGGTAATCAATCAATCATATCGCTGAACTTTGTTTTTCGATTTGCTGCCCGTATAATAAAATTCGCTTAGGCCACATAAAAAAAAATTACTTGTTTAGCGTCCTCGCCCGACCTGATAAAAGTCCCCGACCTCCAATTTTTTTTATTTTTTTTTTAAATCCATCCGAGTTTAGTGCAAAAACTCTATAAAAAAGACCGTTTTACTTGGAAAAATGGTGATTTTATTCTTCTGGGAGCTATGTAATACGTTTACACAAAGTTTCCTTCCCAGAATATGCCTGTTCGCAGCTAAAGTGTTCGCGCGTGACCGCCAAACGGTAATTTTCTGTTTTATTAAAAACATGAACTGTATTAAAAAAACATGAACGGATTTTGAAAGAATTAAAGTGAGTTTTGACTGTGGTAATATACTGGATTTCCTGCATTTAGCAAAATTTTGTGTTGCATTTTACGAAAAAAAAAACGAAAAAAAACCCCGCCCGCCCGACCTAGAAAAATTAAAATGGGTGGACGCTAAACAAGTAATTTTTTTATGTGGCCTTATACAGCAGAAAATATTTACTACTTCCTAAGTACATCATAATGGATTAAGTAACAAATAACAAATACGGTATACTGCACAATCTCAATAAAGTTGAATGGAAAAAACACCATTCATATTTATTTCATGAATGCATTATTATTTGAAGGTGCCAGTGAGTGTATAGCTATACACAGCGATATACAGTATTCGTCAGGCTTTTTTGCATGATGCCTGAATAGTATAGAACAAACGTCGACACGTTGAGTGTGTGCTGGTGACATCTCGAGTATAAAAAAATTTTTTATCTCGAGTATGCAATAACGGGATCACCCGTGAGCTACATGTGTTTTGCGAGAAACAAACGCATCAAGGCATTTTCGTCTTTTTTCGCCGTAGCTGCCATGTCAGAATAATGTACGTTTTTAATATTTTATTCAACTGTTCTTGTATAAAACTATGATTAACATGACTAGATAATGATTAAATTATAAGCAAACAAAATAATTTGTAGACAACTGAGTCTGATGACTATTTATATATTCTGCTATTTACGAAAAGATGATCTCTACTGGGAAATGTCAATAAAATGTTTATGGTCGGTCATATTTTTGACAGGTCGGTCGGAAACCTGAAACCAACTATTATTTTTATTTGGCCATATCGAACGTCAGAGAATCAGGTTCCTCTATAATAGTTTGACTCTATATATAATAGTAGCTACTAGTTTTACTTAAGTCTGCTGATGTTTTTTCTCATGCAGTTACAGTAGCTTGACAATGCATGAAATAGGTAGATCTAACTAGATTGACTACTGTAGATTCTCATCTCAGTCATATGTTATAGCCTTTCTCACGAGGGCCAAATTCGCCATTTTAGGGGTACTTTTTTGAAAACGACGTGAAAAATCTATGCGATTTGAAAACTTTTTTCAAATAAATTTTTTCACTGTAAATTAACTTATAATGATTATACTCACAAATATAGTTATACAATCTCAGATTTGGAAAAGGAAGTACCCCAAATATCGCGGTGTGAGAAAGGCTAATTGTGGACATTCTACATGTATAAAAATTTTCATAATGCTTAATATTATTTTTTTTGTAAAATAGCGCCACCGGACGCCATTATGGACCAAAATTATGAAATATATGAGCTTCTTTGGAACGGAGGAATTTTATATTATATTAATTTGTTTTGTTAAATGGTAAGATAACATAAGGCAAATGTCTGTCGGCTAAATTGTTGTGCAGTATAACTTCTTACTTCCATTTGAAAGTTCTGCATCGAAACAGTATTGGTATGCTTTAACGTTTGCCTGGTACCGAGAGAAACAGAGCGTGTTTTGTGGATTGAATACTGTCGAAGGTCCACAAAACATACAGTTCCAGAAACTCCCCAGTCAATGAGAATATTCTATTATCTATATATATATGTACCAAGTGTCAAAGAAAACAAAAAATCGAAAAAGAAACGAGAATGTTCCGTAATTTTTGCTCCATAACTGAATGCTTTTATTGTCCACCGCTCAGAGCTATTGCCAAAAGACGATTGAATTTCGTGATTTCAATTAAGTGGTACACTCTACAGCAGCTTGTCCAATGAGATGGAAGAATACAGTCGTGAACTTTGGCACTTGGTATAACGCTGTTTATGTGCAGTTTATACTGTAGAGTAATTTTGTTTCGTTCAAACAGGATTGTTGATGCCAGGCTTGGCCGTCTGCTCTGCATTCTCATGGGTATTGGATTCTTTGTTTCTAATTTTTTGAAGGTTTGTCTATATAAAGTTTATGTCTAAAAAAATATATATTTAAGTATATCACAACTATTCGCATCTATAAAAGTCTGATTGCAGATTGCCTTAGCGTACATTCTATTATGAGCTAAAGTTCACATTGCAAAGTCAATTTTGCATCGGACCGTGTAAACTGACATGACTTTCTATCAGATTTTAACTGAGTTTACCATTCTTGGTTTGCCATTATACCGCGCTTACAGCTTTGAAAGGCTTACATGAATGTCCAGATACTGTGATAGAAAAAACAATTAACAGTACTGATAGCAGGGGTTGACTGGTGCATTCTGCGTGAACGTGGGCTAACCACTTAATCCATTTTAACTGCATGCAGCAGCAGACAAACTCAATGGTCATCATGCACGTACCAAATTGCAAGCCTGTTATTATTCAGTCAGAATTTATTCACCTGACTAAACTTACTTTCACTAAGGGTGGGGCAGGAACGCTCTGTGGTCAGCGTCGCAATAAAACAGTGAGGGACACTAAGAGGGGTTATTGAAAACCTACCGTATTGTGCTAAATTACATTATATAAGTGTAGTGTATGGAAAGAGATTTGCAGCCATACAAAGGTTGGAATATGTTGACATTCTACTACATACTTCGCGAAATGTCTGTCACTAACACTAAAACACTCGGATACTGCAATAAACGTGATGGCAAAATCATCATCCACCAGCTAAAAATAAATTAATTGTATACATATATTAATGATCCAAAGATTGAATCATTGAATATAAACTGTAATTAACACAATAAAAAACACACGTTTTGGTTTTGTGGGAGAAGGGGTGTTTTGGGGGGACGTACTCTGTGTTTATGTCAAACGACATCCCTCCATATATAGTTGTACCCTTCATTGGATGAGACCCTAAGCTGAGAATTCTCTTTTATTTTGTAGAATTGCCTTTGCCTTCCTCGCCCACCTTGTCCTCCAGTTATACCTCTGGAAGAAGCAACTGAAACATGGTAAGGATTTTACAAACGGCAAGAAAATGCGTGTTTTCTTTTCCACCATAAAACCACCAATGAATGCAATCTTGTTTTGGATTATACTGTTAGTACCAATACAAAGAAAACGTTTTGCAAATTAAAAACGGTTTTCTTTATTTTCTCATCTCGCTTGTTATTGTAGTATCGGTAGCATTCTGGTACTGTAGTTTATTTACACATTAATTTGAAAAAAATTTATTCTTGTTCCAGGGGTCTTCCAAGTCATCATTCCGTTTTATGTGTTGTTCTTCCATGGTAAGTCACGTCGATTCATTGCCACTGGTATATTTGCTTTCTTTTAAAACAATATCAAGGGAGAAGCAAGGGACATACAGTACAGTACTGTACTGTGCTGTACTGTACTGTACTGTGATGTGATGTGCTGTACTGTATAGCGATGTGTCCATATGTAGAGGTTACAGTATCTGTTTTATAAAGGCCACCATGCACCATACCTTTTTAAACATGATTTCATGCGAGCTGCTCCATTTACTGTTCGGAGTACTCCGGATTTTCGGAACACTAATGGAATGAAACAGAAGACAGTCACATGACTGTTCTGAACTGTTCGGACTACCCCGATTTTCGAGTAGGGGCAGCCAGAACAGACACGTGACACTGCCCATTTTCACGTGATTAGAAATGGAGGCGAAGATTTTGTATATCCAATGCACAACGAGTAAAAACGTTCCAAAAGCATACTTAGATGTACAAATAACAGCAAATCATTATACGATTTATTATGCGAATAACTAATGAATATAGTAATGCATGGTTACACGCATATATAATAAACTAAACACTGTTTCAGAACACCGTGTGCACTCCATTTCATATCGTTCTAGAACAGTGTTCCAAATGTTCTAGAACAGTAAATGGAGCAGCCTGATGGCCATTATTTCATGTCTGTTAAAAGTTTATATCAATTTTTGTTTGCTCATTTATATCTACAGTACTAATTGTTTTTTCCTCTGTTAACAGGTACATCTGGTTTTATTCGATGATACATTTTAATTTGGGTTACTCGGAACAATCACTGTTGTTCACAGCCATTACGATATGTATGCCAAATATTATATTATAATAATTATATACTCGTGTTCTTTCTTTGTATTTGGGCACCATCTCAGCTAATATTACTCAAAACAGGGTTTAAGCTGCACAAATAGTTTTCTTTACCATATAATTTGACTAATTAATGAGAAAACTGTTGCCTAATTTAATTTTTTGCAGCCAATTCATTTAACACATCTATTAAAACTTTTCCGAATACATATGCATGAGCTTGGAAAGACGGCAATTAGCTTTTGGCGAAATGATAATGAAACTATATCGTCAATTTTTATTTGCATTATTTTGGTGAACTTCCGCTTCAACCCTGCCAAGAGTTCAAACGTTTTCAGAATTCTTGTTAGCCCTTAGAACATACGATACAACAAAATTTTGTTTTAGTGTCAGACATATATATATATATACAGTAGTCATTATTTTCCCTATCCCCAAAGTTGTAAGGGTTACTTCCTTTCCGTATATCCAGAAGCTGTGTGCTGCTGTTGGGTCCTATATATGGCTAAAGAGTTCTGGGGCTTGCGTATTGTAAGACTTTATAAGTCCTGTCGATACTCAATACAACACGACCTCAGTGAAATACGTACAAACGGAACAACAACAAATTTTGTTCTTGCATGGAAGGGAATTTCAACCTCTTAAAATTCCTATTGCCATGAGTTTTAAGCTTATTTTATCTCCCTTTTCCTTCATCCCCCTTTTCCTTTGCTCGCCCCCATCCCCCAGAGGGGGAGGAAATATTAACTATATGCATCCCTGTTTACTGCATGTTGGCAACCTAAATCCCCCCCCCCCTCAATATTTCGCGAAGTGTCCGCCACTGTTACAGTAACTTACAAACCAAACTGGTGAGAACCTGCATGGGGTCGATTTTCTAATATTGCCTTTGACTGCTATAGCAATACAACCTGTATTAAAGTTAAGTAGTTAAACATTTAATTAAATTAAGATTGTGGGATCCTTACCCGTACATTTGAAAAATCATTATTGGGTAGATGAACAGTTTGTACTGTAAATAGTGTGGCATTCATCCACTCATGCATTTCATTCTGTTGATTTTTTACTTTTAGGGAGTGTGTCAGTGTTGTTATGTCGTGTGTATCTTGGCGTACATAGTCCTGCAGATGTTGTGTCTGGTAGCATATGCGGTTGTTTAATCTTAGCATTCTGGATGAAAGTTGATAACTATCTTGACCATTATATCAGCCTTGGAAATAATGGTAAGAATGTCCACTTGTGGTTTTGGTCTGTTCGACGACAACATAGATTATGGATCATACCAGATGTCTCACTGTGTATCTATCCCTATGATTTTCGTGTCCGCGATTTTCGCGCGTGTGACACTTACTGCCAAAATGGCGCTTACTGCCAAAATGCGTGAATTACACTTACTGCCAAAATGGCGGCCAACGCGTGTTCATAAAAAATCGCGGACACAATTTTGGCTGAGTGATTCATCTGGTATTATCTATCATCTGTGACGAGAATGACGTTTTTTACAAGCTAGTGTAGGCTAGGTAGGTTTCGCGCGAATCGACTTTAGTCTTTTGTCTAAAACTAATTAGTTCCAAATGGTTCCAGCCGAAAGCTCAAGAACAAAAGCAAATAGTCGCTTCGCGCGAAATAATTCGCTAGTGGAAAACCAGCCGTGATAATTGACCTACTGTACCTTTTCCTGTAAATGACTGGTAGGATTAGTGCTGTACCAACGCCCTACGCTCGTGAGTCGTGATCCGGAGGCCATATACTGCCTAACCTTACCCCCACTTCCCACCATATACCATACAGCACATGTGTAGCATATATAATCCCCAACAAAAATATAACCCAGCCGTAACCTTACCATACTGTATACAGTATGATACTAAGCAAACGTTTTTTTCATCAATTGTAGTGATAATGCAAGCGCTGATTTATACCATTGCTCTGTTATTTATTCATCCACGTCCAAAACTTAGAACAGGGTCATTTCAGGAAACCGTAAGTACCAATATAATTTGTGTGCCTGGGAGGCAGTGGCGGACACTTCACAAAATAATGGGGGAGGGGGGAGGGCGATATTTTCAACATGTATGCCAAAGGGGTTTCGGTGTCTGTTTAATAATTAAGGCTCGCTTGATCATTGCATACGTTAATTGTGATATTTGGTACCATACTTTTATACGTCTATCGTAGAAAGTCTTTTATAGACTTTTATAGGTCTGTCCGCCATTACTGGGACGGCAAGACATGATGGACCGTTATGTCAGCTGACTCGTCTCTATCCTTTATGACTTCATGCATTTTCTTCAGTAAAATTAACTACTATCAATAATCGTTACATAAGTTATTTGTCCTCAACTGACAATTTTTACGTTTTCACTTTCCATCAATGACTGTAGAAACTTCAGCTGTTCATTTACACGTATTGGCTTTGTATGGATGCTGTCACTGCTAATTAATTGTCAAAAAAATCCTATACGGCTTTTTGTTTATGTATAACTGAGAAAACGAATCTCATGCCAAATACTTATGTTTTCCAATTTTCCTTTCTAACTTCGTTATTTTAAATTTTTTTCTGTGTTGGTGTTGTGTACTCAGGTGAATAATATGTTTGCGATGTTACTCTAAGTGCCTATCCACACCGGGCGAGCTTGAAAAATATGCCCGGCCACGGTGGGATTCGAACCTACGACCTTTGGAATACTAGCCCAATGCTCTTCCAACGGAGCTACGCGGTCAGGACGGTTCGTGTAAGTGATATTTCGGAACAGTATCTAGTTCCTTCAATACCAATGTGTTCTAGTAATATGAATTTTTTTCTGTGTTGGTGTTGTTCGTTATTTTTGTCACTGCAACAAACATTTGCACACAAATTATTTTTCTCGTATTTTATGGCAGTAAACCTTTCCGCGCGGTTCATTTTTTCCCTGTTTCGTATTAAAACCTGTTTTCCACTAGCCGAATTTCCTTTGTCATCATCGCTTATCACGTCAGCAAACGCAATGCCGACAAAGGAACAAGTCGCTTCGCGCGAATAAATTCGGCTAGTGGAAAACAGGTTTTAATAAAGTATCAATAGCTCTATAGTTAGGCCCCACGGACTATATACTCCCAAATTATAAGGCATGCAGATAATATACTGTACAATTATTGGACGAGGTTGACCAAATATCGTGATTTGCCAGTGGCGAGCAGATCTATAGAGCAGATTAATAGTTAAGCATTTGCACACGCTTAAATTGTAGAGCAAATCATCACCCTTAGATATTATCAACGCAAAAATTATACATGCTATACGCAAAAAACGTTATTGAGAAAAACGTGGATCATATGAACCTACGAAAAATATCTTTGTATGATTCAGTTAAAGAACCTTTTATAGAATAAATTTAATGACAGTCACCTTTGGTTCATTTTCTTGCATAATAATACTTCTTGCACATGTACTGTAGACTATAATTATTTCTAGTTTTTAGGTTGTCACATTCATTATTGCGCTTGCATTTTCACAGAAACGGCGGGACATCGAAGTCGCTCCTTGTCGCTTCCATTTCGAGCTACTGCCTGACATGCTGGAAAATATATCAAATGTATAATGCGTGTCGAAATTAAGTCTTAGGAAAGCTACATCACACCACGCTCGTCCCAGACTCTAGTTGATACGCGACAATTTTACGAAAATCGCTGTTTAGAGCCTCGTATCTCGCGAATGAAAAGAGAAAACCGAAAAATGTTAAAGAACCTATTAACTAACTTTTTGTCCTCTGCCAAATATAAAAAAAAAATTTGTGACATAAGCACTTTAAAGAACGTTTTATACAATAAATTTATCGACAGTCACCTTTGGTTTATTTTCTTGCATAATACTACTTCTTGCACATGTAGACTATAATTATTTCTAGTTTTTAGGTTGTCACGTTCATTATTCCGCTTTGCATTTTCATAGAAAAGGCAAAACATCGAAGTCGCTTCCATTTTGAGTTTTTGACAACATTCCGAACACTTGACATCACGTTCGCCATACAGATTTCAGTAATGTTGACACATGCGCAGGCGTTTTTCCGCGGTGTTCTTGACACCACGTTCCCAAAGGGAATTTCAGTAAGGTTGACGCATGCGCAGACGTTTTTCAGCGGTGTTCTGTTACGGTGTTCCTGCCACGTTTTCTCTATTTATATTTGTTATCGGTGTAACTTTTCGGAGTTTTTTCAATGTGTAATTGTAACTTTTTCCCTTTTTTTGGGCGAAGCTAGTAAAATTCAAATTAAATTATAAATAGAGTGACGTAAATGTTTTGCACCACACCGAAACACTCAGCGTAGCATCAGAGTTGAACACCACAACCATACAGGTGTAAGATTTCTTTATGTTTTGTTCCTAGGTATGTATGTTAGGTACACTCGTTGGTTTCGTAATGGCAAGGTCTGCGTGGACAGCGAGGAAACCTGCATTATGTAAAACTGTACTACGAGAGTTGTCAGGTATAAATACATTTTAAAAAGTTATGATTGGCGTAACCAAATGCTATTTAGCTCAAATCACGTTCACATTTTCCCACTGACCACGCCCATTACCATAACTTGATGTTCAAACTTCATGTGCAATGCTTTTTGGAACAACATTGTTTATGGCAACTTGAGATATACATTGCTTATACTGCGTTACAGGACATACAGTATAATATATAGTTTCTTAGTAAAAGCAAGTGTTTGGTAAGGGCATTTGTTTTCACTTTCCCCAAAGAGTTCTTGTAACGATAGTGTTTTGTTCTTATATACTTATACTATACCCTTTCGGCGTTAATTCGTTAAAACGTGTATATTTAAACTGCTTTATAATGCACATATTATGATCATGGGAATTTTACATATACTGTATTTGTGATATTCATGCAAACGAATTTGAAACGAAATGCAATATACTGTACAATATTTTCTTAGAGGGAAACTTCATCTTCGTGGTCGTTTTGGCTGCTATTGTCGATTTTAACTTACTTTTCAGTAAAATGTTCCGAACTTCGTTCCGAACTTCGCACATTCGTTGCAAAGTTCAAACGTTTGTAATGAAATCCACAAGCAGGTCTGTAAACAAAGCCTCTGATTGGCTACTAAATCAAACCAGCCAATCAAATGCTCAGTTTACAAACCAATTTGTAAATTTCATTATGAGCTTTTGAACTTTGCAACGAATTTGCGAAGTTCGGAACATTTTACTGAAAAGTAAGTTGAAATCGACAATAAAGCTACCGGAGGTAACGTTTAATTACAAAGGCATTTTGTGGCAACATACAAAAGAAAACTGATCTGCATTGCCTTATTAAACGTCGCTTCGTCTAGCTTTAACAGTCAAATTGTCCATGAGGATGACGTTTTTGTCTAATAAAATATATTGCATTTCGTTCCTGATCGTAATATGTGCACTTCAAAACTTGTAAATCTTTGCTTTCCTGTGAACAATTACTCGCAGTCTTTCTGTGAGCTTTTTTCCATTTAGAACGAATAACTCGCTGTTTTCTCGTTCGCCAAACCCGGTATAGTTTATGAGGCACATTTTGTTGTTCTCAATGCTCGCTGGATACAGTATGACCTACTATTCTGTTAGCACAGAGATCTGATCAATTGAAAAAATAGTTATGGTATGCAGTGCATGGTTCAACTCTGTTTTTATTATTAATAAATAACTTTATAAGACCTTATCAAATCCGGAATAATGTCATTTCGCGAGATAAAAACCAGTGCTTGATCACTGAGCTACATATTCTGTACATTGTATATATACTACACTTTACATTATATTGCAGTTTGATTAGTGGTTTGATAAAAATTTCGATACCAATTAAGTTTGTTTTATGCGATTTTGAAGTTAATTTTTGGATAACGTCTATAACAAAAATAACGTGAATGTTTAATTTAATTTTTTGTTCAGATTCAACATCCTGGATGAATGTGGTTTTAGTATCTATGGGACGACTTTTATTAGGTAAGCAGCACTAAGCACATTGAGTCTCGCTGTGTTTATACAGTAGTTTCGATGGGGGCCTCTTTAACCTGATTATCAAGCCAATTTTCCTTCTTTAAATGCGAGTCGGCTTGGTTGTATTTAGGTTATCTATTCAGCTTTTCGTATGCCATGTAATATTTGAAATCCGACTATCAGGACTGGACTAGATTTCAAGTCCGCGAAATTTGATCAAGTCCGAGGCGAGGCGAGGACTGGATCAAAATGCTATGACTTGGAATCTAGTCCAGAATAAATCACTACTTAATTAATTTTGATGCAGTCAAAGGACTGAATTAATTTTGATCCAGACCTAGGACTGGATCAATGCACTTCATCAGATATCCAGTATTATCATGTGAGCAAAATAAAGCAATATGGTTGGCTAATTTACTCATGAATTATTAATGAGTTTGACATGCTAGGATATATTACGAAGTCGAAGCAAAAATTGTTGAACATTTTCTTAATCGAAATGAGTAAAAGAAAGTCATTTAAGATTTTAATACATATAATTTACGGTAGATCCATGGGGTGGCCATGGTATGGTATGGTAAAACTATGTTGGTCCCTACAGCAAGAGCTGATTTCCCACAGGGGCGTAGATTTGAATTTCAAAATTACTGGGGCCGGTTGTATAAAAACGTAGTTAGCGCTAACTGCAGTTAAAAAGTAGTTAAAAAGTGGTTAACTTTAATCACGTAGTTAAGCCGGTTGTATAAAAGTGTAGTTAGCCTTAACTGCAGTTAAAAAGTAGTTAAAGTTAAATATGCTTTAGGGTATAGTTAACTGTCCAAAACGTAGTTAAAAATGGCGTTTGTATAGGAGTGAACAACATTTTTCAATAAAACAACAATGAAAAGCAACGCTTACCCGAGATTTTCAATCGCTATCTTCCCCGTGAATGTTTCCTGACAATATAAACTCTTCGAATGCTATCGCTTTGGTGTTTTTACGAAAACGGAACATATTTTTGCACAGGAGGATTTCTCGAAGAAGAAGTATGGTCCATTACACCAAGAAACACTGATATATAATTGCCAAACAGCTATGCCTTGGTTTAACATAGACATCTCAAGGAAAAACTGCATTCTCTTATGATTTTTGTGGCGGTTTTTCTTTATTTTTTTATTTATTTTTCACTGTTTTCTAGTGTTTTGAATAAAATTCCCGCCTATTTGCAAAATACGAGTCCACAATCGTGTTGAAAATGTGTGTCAGCGGTCGTTACTCGCTGCTTACTTTATGTAATTTTCTGTTTAAACTCCCCACGCAAGCCCCACGCACAGTTAACTACGTGATTAGTTAACTATCCGACTAACTACGTTTTGTGCAACGCAGTTAAGTCATGTAGTTAACTAATTACAGATAAGGATTTAACTACAGTGATTAACGCTAACTACAGTTAGCGCTAATTACGTTTTTATACAACCGGCCCCTGTACATTAAAAATTTCGAATACATGCAGTCATTACAATTACAATTACAATTACAATTACAATTACAATTACAATTACAGTCATTACACTGAGTACAAAATAAGGTAAACAGTCAGGGATATTTCATTAGTTGACTTAACTGGTTAAATACATACTTGTATTGAAGGCAGTAAGAGATTTCTTACTCCTTAATTTCATCTGTCTCTATTAAAAAGTCCTCTGTATTATTTTTTCAGGTTTTATCATTGTGTTAGCAGTAAGATCTCTTGGAAAGGTTACGTTTCGTTCTATTGTGTCAAATGTTTACAATCTCATTGGTTTAAAATCAGTCATTCGTGGTGGTTCGAAAGCTCACTATTTTAACACAACATATAACAAATCCTTCACACTTCCACCTGTCTTCAACTTGGTAAGTAGTGCAGGTGGTATATAATACTGACGCTACAACCTATATGGATACAGTAGACAGTATACTGGGTATTTCATACAACTGTCCCAAGCTCAAGTTTTTATGTAGGCGTACACGACAAAATGACATGCACTTTTTCTTTGACAACTCATCTTCTTTCACTCCCCGATGGGGCTTCTCCGTAACTGATCACAGCAATTAGTACCAGGGTTCGTACAAAACTTGAAAGTCCTTGAATGTCCTTGAATTTGAAAACAAAAATTCGAGGCCTTGAATGTCCTTGAATTTGTAAAGAAGTGCTTGAATGTCCTTGAATTCTTCTTGCTTTAGTTTTTGGATATTTTCTGAAATTGTTTGACATTCAAGACGGACATTTTGTTGAACTGATTTTGCATGTTCATATCAGACCTCATTATAAAGTTACGTTTTGAACAATTCAACGTCAGATTCTGCTGATTTCTAACGCCTTCTTCTTCAGTATTTAGTCCTTGAATTTGCTGATACATGGCCTTGAATGTCCTTGAAAAGTCCTTGAATTTGACTCTTCCTGACATGTACGAACCCTGTAGTACCCTTAAACCGGAGCACCAGGGGGAAAAACTCACGTCTTGCCTTAATGCCTTTCGGCAGGGCGTGCACAGACTCTTTTCACATGAGTGAGAATCGAACCCACGATCTCCGAGGAGAAAGGCGCTTGCCTTGACGACTGCGCTATACTGAAGCCTCGTAATCCTGAACACGACCGAACAAAACTTTATAAGAGGAAACTTGTAAGGAAAACTATCTGGTCGTTACGGAGCTGTGAATAAAATCTTGAATGTTGGGTGCCAGTGTTGGTAGCGAAGAATACTATTTTCAGACTTGTGTGTATAATGCAAATAAAAATTTCGACGTTTCGAGCGAAGGCCCTTCGTCTGGAACTTAGCATGCAACTTGGGGTTGCATCAGATCAGAATTTTGGCCATCTCACTCGATAGAACTAATTGTAGAAGGATTTTGTAGATTGAAATTTAGAATGTGATTTTTATACTACATTTATTAGACTTAATATACCAGTAGCAGTTGCGAAAAATGCAACTACATGCCTTTTAGCAGGAGTCGAACCTGCGGCCTTGCCGTTCTTGTGCAGACTCTATCATACTGATCTATAGAGTCCAGTCAAACAGCTGGGCATTTTGTACGGAGCATGCGCGAAAAAATCAATATGGCGACATATTTATAGGAGTGCTTCGTGGATTTATCTGGTTTTAAAGCTGATAAAACAACATTTCAATGAATAAAAACTTTGTAATATTTAGTGGAAAACATTAAGCTATGCAGTCCAAAGGTTTTAAATTAAAAATAAGTACTTTTGCTTTATTTTATTGCTTTTTATGCTTTCAAAATAGGCAAGCTCATTTTTTTTGAAAGAATCTAAACTAATATTTTACCCATCATTTGTTTAATCTGAACAGAAATTGATAGAACACTTGGCTACATAAGTTATAAAGGGAATTGGTAGCTGATCTGAAAGATTTCAGTATTCCTGGTACACATTTTAGCAAAGAATGACTGTAATTTTAAAAATTAAATATGCATATCAAAAACAATAGTTTTTATTAGAACAACACATAATAAGTTGTTATTTTCTATTTTTACAAAAACAAGTTTGGAAACAGAATCTAGTCGTCCAGTTTGATGTCATATTCCATTTATTTGGATATTTGAATAAAGGAATGTGAAATAATAATTGAAACTTGTCCAAAATTTGATACCAACACTCAAGTGAACAGATACTATCACCTAAAAATAAAAGAAAACAGAACTTAAATTTGTCATATAATGCTATGAAAAAGTCTTAGATACTACAGGCATATAGTGAGCACAATGCTTTAACAAACTCACTAAAATAAGTTAAGTTATGCTATGATAAGAGGATGGCAATATATGACAACATCAAATGTTACCATCTTCAGTGTCCAAAAAAAGTGCCGCGCGCATTTTTCCCAGCATACCCACTAACTTTTCCATGAAGGTTGACTAATAAGGATAGTTTTAAGCCATATTTCGGAGAGAGGCAATGGTAAAAATTTTAAGATATTTTTATTTATATGCCATATCACCACAGAATTTCACAAAGCAAGCATGCCTATATTCAGGATTGCCGTTAGACTCTTAAAACTGAACAAATCAATGCGGCATTTCCTATCTCATAACAACCAATACTTGAACATTTTCAAAAGCATTTTTGCAGCAATTTTTACTTTATAACAAACCAATACAGGAGCAATTTCATAAGCATGTGACAACATGACATTTTCACTTCACAAGTGGATTTGTCAATTACAACATCTAGCACATTTTTCCCATGAATAGCTCAGGTTTTAATAAAACAAAGTATGATTTAACTTTCATAAAATATATTTTCTAACTGAAGGCAACGGCCAGTTTCTACGAAATTGCAAGAGGAATATGTGTCATTTTCATCAAAATATGTATTTTAAGACACTTATTATTCCAGATGAGGAAGGACAAACAAATTATTGAACATACCTGTGGAAACAACAACAACTCAGCTTCTATCAAGAGCAAAATATGAACACTTCCTTGTTTCCATACTGCTGTACCCTGCTTCTGAAACTCTGACAATGAGTGAAACATTTCCACTTGTCGCCCATTTGTAAATAAAAATTCTTCGCACGTTTTCATGCGATTAAGTCGTTATATCGTTGCGTACAAGCACTACAACTTAATCTTTCAAGAAACACTTTATTTTCCATGAACAAACCAGTAAAAGAGGACAAAAAATCCTCTCACAATGCATATTTTCAGCGTTCGAAGAATCAAAATGTTTGTTAAAGAAATGCGCCCGCAATATTTAGACAGCGACAACAGAATGCCCAGCTGTTGTCCAGTCACAGAATAAGGCACACAGAAGGTCGACTCGAGTAACCCAGTAACCGCTGCCACGCCATGATTCATTATCAAAATGCTGACGCCATGGTCCCAGCCAGTGCGCGTTTGAGAGGCATTCCCCCCTGGACGTCCACCATTTTGAATATTATCAGGGGGGTGAATGCCTCTCAAACGCGCACTGGCTAGGACCATGGCGTCAGCATTTTGATGATGAATTACGGGTTACGCCAAAATCATAGGAAAAACCAAGAAGTCGGCCTTCTGTGTACCTTATTCTGTGGTCCAGTTATCGGGCTCTAACCGCAAATTACAGGTTAGAGCTATGGTTAGAGCGATGCAACGCAGGGCCGCAGGTTCAATTCCTGCAAAGAGGACGTTTTGCATTTTTCGCAACTGCTTCTAGTTAGGTCTAATAAATGTATAAAAATCACGCTCGAAATTTCCCTCTACAAATCCTTTCAACAATACACCCTTTCGATAATTACGTCATTTGGCCTGGGAGCCTCGTGAGCCAATCACCTTGCGTTATTTACTAATGAGAGCGAGGCTCCAAGACCAAAACGTATGTGTGACGTAATTATCGTAAGGGTGTATTAACGGACTGCACAAGGCTGCAAATTTGAATTCATATTTTTGTCGTACTGTAGGTCTTATTGCCAGACACAAGAAACTCGTTATAAGTTCGTTTTTTGTCTCTGTAGGAAAAGAAATCAGAGAAGTCCATAAAATCATCAAACACCATATCTGACGATGTTTGGGAAGTAGATCATGGTGCAAAATATTTAACTTATGTCTTTGTTGGTTGGTCTGGAAGTTATCTCGCTCCTCTAGCATTTCATTTACTTGGTCTTAACATTTCCAGTTAAATCTACAATACATGCATGTTGCAAACATGAGGAATGGTCTTACTAAAAATGTGTTTTAAAATGTGCACGTTTCTGAGGTTATGTCTTTATGTCATGCATGCATGCATGCAGCTTGGGATAGCGGCTGCTGTATATTTATAAGATCATGCAGTTAACAACACACATTTAAATAAAAACAATGGGGAGAGGAGAAGTTTACCTTGCGACCTTTAGAACACTAAAATTACAATGCAGTTATATACATGCAGTCGGACAGCAACAAATGCCTGTAGTCCAGTTGATACAACCGTTGATCCTTCATTAATTAATGGTCGGAAGAAATATGTCAGAGTTATAAATTTGTCATCCTTGCAGAACTGTACACTGTCCTACCAAGTAATGCCTGTTTACTATAGGTACATCAATGTTATATTTTCCTGTTATCTCTATATATCGTGTGATATAGAGTAATAATAGATGAATGCTGAAAATAGATCTATCCTGATTAGGTCGTTAAGAACCATCTAGTGCGAGGTCTTTGTGATCATACCTGTAGCCTCGTTTTTCAGTGGACACAATGATTTTTTATCCATTTGTATAATGGGTGCATTATATAGTATCTCCCATGCACAGACAAGTTTCCCAGTTTGCCGAGCTCGTATACATGGACACGCTCATGGTCTTTGAAATGCATTATCTAGATACACAGTGAATTTCAAAGCGATAAATACAGTTAATTAAATTAATTAATTAGGTTGTATTCTCAAAGTCGAGATTCAAAACCACATCATCTCGCTGTCTAATTTATCGTGAAAAGCACATTGTATTTGCATATTTTTACTGATATAAAGCACATCTAAAGAGTTTGAGGGGGAAAAAATTTATTATGAATAATCACCTTAACGCAATTTGAAAACTTTGGCTTGACAGAATTTTTTACTTTTGTGCAAAATTGCAAACTCTTTAGATGTTGTTTTACATAAGTAAGATGCTTTTTGTTTTTCAACAAGTAATTGTGATTTGTCCAAAAATGCTCAGCTGATCACAAATTTTCTATTTTGAAAAAACTGTATCGAGCCACCTTAATATGCAGATCATATTTGTATTAGGTAATATAAACAGCAAGAACGACTGCGTTGTATAAGATATATAGGCCGTGGGTCGTTGTGCGAAAAAGTGCTTAGAAAAGCAATTTCGTGGCAACCCTGTGGTTCAATGCATAGTACCATAGATGCTCAATTACCAGAAAAAGTTCCCAAGCAAAAAACTTGCCAAACACCGAGAAAATGGGTGATCAGTGATTATCCTCTATTAAACTATGCATTGAATCACAGAAAATCTATTCCCCAAGGGGTTGCCACAAAGTGAAATAATTTTGGCCGGAGGCCCACGTCCTAATATGGTTGAATTCTATTATTAAGATATTAAATAAAAATAGTCGCAGGTGATAATAATTATATATGAAATTTTGAATAGAACATTTTACATTTAATTTATAAATCATATAGATAAATCATAGAACAGCAGAATAACAAAATATGTGGATGGTATAGTGAGTATTTATTGGTGTTAAAAAAATAATAAAATAAAAATATAAACTTTCTTTACATCTGTTTCTTAACAATGTAGAAAATATCGTAGTTGACAGATATAATAAAATCTTTCAACGTTATTATGCTGGGTTTTTAGGTTGAAATAGACGAATTTAATTCTACTTGACTAAAATTTTGACAACAAATGCGAAAAATGTAGTATTCTAGAAATGTATATTGATAAAAAAATTAATATTTTCCATTTTCGACCTTTGGCTTTCTACTTTCGACCCTCGACTATCGACGTATGACACTCGACAATTACCCAAATTCCCGTTTTTGAGCTGTTATTATACGCTCCCATGCATGCATTTACCAATCACGCGGGTCCCTAATAGGGTCACGTGCATGCCCGATATTTTGCGACATAGGACAGTGCATATTGGACAGTAGCTTATCGTGGCTTTTTTCCTGGTTTATCAATTATTGTAATACCGATGTTTTGTCAATTTTAAACACACAACAAACGATATAGCAAAGTAATGAAAAAAATTCGGAACATTGTGACAGTTTTTCTGTCACTGAGTTTTGTTTAAAATTATAAAAGCGCGGGGAAAACTTGTCTTCCGCAATTCATTTGTTTACAACAGTCGCCAGGTCAGTAATATATCATTTTTCGTTAAAATTATAGGTCAAATTACCTTTAAAGATACAAGGAATTGAGTTTTATATGCACACTTGTTTTTAAAAGCAAGTTCATTGACGTTAGTAACTAAAGTTTAGTTATATAGTGCATGGTTAGGTTAAATTAGCATAAGTAGCTATATCTATAGTCATCTATTTTGTTTATCTTCAGGTATAATATAAGTTTGAAGACCAATGTCATTAAAGGCATGAAAACTAGTTAAAATTTTAAAATCAATATAATTTATGGTTGAAATAGTTGAAAAGAGTCCAATTTCTTACGCAGTACGAAAGTCTCAAATATTCTGTAAATCCAGGAAATAGCTTCTTAGAAAAAGTCATTGGATTCTGTGTATAAGTGCGGCGTTTCGAGACCAAGGTTCTTCTGTAGAATTCGAAGTTTTGAGAACACCATATCCCATTCCAAAAACGTGCTTTGTAACCACCTCGATACTTTGGTCCCGGTTTCAGGTGTCGCTTTGAACCCCGTTCTCCCGTGCAGGACTCGCGTATTATGTATCATAACAATTTGCCCAGGCTTGAGATGGACGCTCACGAGATTGCTACTACTGTTGAATAATTTTGATAGTTGGTAGTATGCTTCGTAGAACGCCAGTACTTCCTCTGTGGTTGACTTGTTGTTTGCCACAGTCATAACTACTGGCTCGCATGACAGATACTCAATACGACCTTTATTGTTTAGGCTGAAATGAAAGCAAAAAAAATCATTGTGAGTATAAAGGATGGTTTCGAGCGCAATTTGGCACGAGTGAGTTTTTCAAATGGCATCAAAATAGCACGAATAGCACTCGTCAAAGGACGAGTGCTATTTGAGGTATTTAATTGAAAAACTCACGAGTGCTTGTTTTATCCAAATTTCACGAGAAACCCTTCTATTATAGATTATTACTGATTTGCACTGTTGTTACCTGGGCCCTTCCTAGACGCGATAATTGGTGGTATATTCATATATTCATGTTCGCATACCTTATAAAAACAATCGCTCAAAAGAAATCCGTCGGGCAGAACACGAATATATGAATGTACCCCCCCCCCAATTATCGCGCTAGGAACGGCCCTAGTTGTTGCAGATTTTTGCACCGCTGTTACAGAATTTTGGTGCTGTTTGAGATTACCTGCACTGAATTTAACCAATCACGGTTGAGTAACATTTTATATGTATTAATAAGTGTAAAACAATTGACCGGCGAGGCGTTGCGTCTAGAAGGGCTCTGGGTACGAGAATGAATGCGCAGGAAAACGGAAGGGAGTGGTGATACATATCAAAAGCAGAATGCACATTTGGTTCATTCTGCTCTTTGCTTTGGTAGCGCAAAGTTACCTTTATTTTTTCTGAACGCAACTATCATTGTACTTGTATATTAGTCTATTAATATAATTTAGTTGAGGGCGTTTTTAGCTCTTTTAATTACATCCACCTTTTATGTGCATGGTAACTGTTAATTAATTACTTTGGTCAATAGTTCGTTATGTTCATGTGCTGTTTAATAAACGAGTGTTTTATTAGGTTTAAAGTCACGAGCGCGCAGCGCGAGTGGCTTTAGACCAGGGCGTAGTAAAACACGGGCGGTGAAACGCGCTAATATTTGCCTGATCCATGTGTGATGCACGGGAGACTGGCGCGAGCGTGCGAAATGCGCGGATGAAGCGGGATTTTTAAAGATGAAGCGAAGCAAAAACAAGAGACAAAAATATTTAAAGGGCAATCAAAAAGTGCAAATTTTTAAGGTAAATTTATCCTTAAAATGGAAAAAAATTAACTTGTTATAAAATAGAGACTCTGACAATTAATTAGTATTGCTAATTACATCGCTGGAGTTGGAAAAGCATTTTTAAAATGTGAAATTATTTGAAGGCATAGCGATTTTATCATAAAATATATTTACATTTTTCAGGCAATGACAAATTGTAGTCGAGTTTTTTAGCCAGACCGAGTGGAAAAAAAGTTAACTTCAACCCTTTAAATTATCTATAATTAGTTATACTTTCGATCTGAAAAGGTTAGAAAATGGGCTTTTGTGGGCTTTTTTTTCAATTTAAAGATTTATGACCAGGTCACTTGCGTAATTTACAATGACACAACTTGTGACCTTGTTTTGATAAAGTTAGAAAACAATTGTCAATTTAGAAAGCATTGGAAACATTATCATTAACATATTCAGGCATTCAAATGCAATATAAAAGTTAGGGAAAATATTCAATTATAAGCAACAAGCAGAAAATTCCGTTTTTACCATGTTAAAGGTTGTTTTATTTCTCTTTTCGAACTTACAATATGCAACTAAAATGTCCGCCAAAAGACTCCAAATTGCATGTTCACAGCGATGTCGCAGTTTTACAAGCGCGGAAAATTTTTAACTTTTAAATATTTCATGCACAATATATGAAAACTAGCTTTATTTTGATGTTTTTGGATAATTTAAGTACGTAATTTTCTGAAAATCATCAAATGATAATGGGCTTTTTTAATTTTT